TTGATGTGATATGTCTGATTCTGTTCTGTTTCTGATTTATTACGACTTCTGTTTCCGTACAATTCTGTTCTGATATGATCTGAATTTCTGACTCTGTTGATTTAATCCGTTCTGATTCTGATGTGTACAATTTCTGATTCTGATGTGATCTGTCCGTATCTATTCTGATTTGTTCTGTTTCGTTCTGATATGTCTGATTTGGTATCTGTACGATTCTGTTCCGATTTCTGATCTGATTTCTGTCTGATGAGTTTGGTTTTGGATTCTGAGAATTTTGATTGGAGGTTTGTTGCTTTGCTGAGCTGTTGAGCTCACTCTCGTTTTCTGGTGGTTTTCAGGTTCTGGGAAAGGGAAGGAAGTCCAGGAATAAATTCAGAGTCTGATCAGTATAGGTATTTGTTTATACCTTTTGATTTTTGTACAGTCATGGCTTTTCTGTTCTGTCTTTCTTTCTGTTCAAAAGCCATGTACTGTATTTGTAGATGATTGTTTTGAGGAAAAGAAAAATATAGATGTTTTGTCCCGCTGCATTTGGTGACTTATAGTAGCTCTGTTGTTCTGTGTTTGTGTGTTGTTTTGAGTTAATTATTTGGAAGATTCAGTTCAGAACCAAATTCCAAAGCCAGATCCTGGATAAAAGGTTTTGTCGCGGCCCGGTGCGAGCTGGGTCCGTCCCGGATCGGGTCGGGTCGTGACACAGGAGAAGTGGAGCAGGGAAATGAGGCGGTAATGCTAATATAGGGAAGCCAAATAAAATATGTGGCAGCAATGGCAAGGGTGCAATATTTAACTTTAGTTGGGAAGCGAGTAATTGTGGACTACTTCTTAACACATCAAAAAATAAAAGTATGACTGAGATAAGCATATTAACCTGTTTTGGACTTTATGAATCTTCAGCTAAATTGAAGTTCAAATAGGCAAGAAGAGTCGGACTGTTTTTTTGAATGGATAGAAACATAGTTAAGCGTGCCCTTGATATATTGAAGAATGCATTGGTGGAGCTAAAAATAACATTGGAGAGGCTAATGCATATGTTGATATACATTGTTAACAACAAATACTATATTTGATCAAGTGATAAAAAGATATTAAAGTGATCTAACAAGTTGGCAAAAAAGTACAGGGTCCAAAACATCTGTGTTTAAAGTAGGTTCAGCTCATAAATCGAAAGAATGTGGGTTCGAAACAAGTTTGAAGCGACTCATGTCGGTTTTGTGTAGGATTTTCTTGATGTAGTTGGATTAACTAAGAATAATACTTTAGGAAGCCAAATTAATGTAAAGGCCAGGAATATAGGAAATAGTTCCAGGATTCTTCATATTAAGCCTACTGTGAAGCTCTTCAGGATTCTTCATATTAAGCCTACTGTGAAGCTCTTCAAGTTGCACTAATGTAGGGTCCAAATTATTAATAGTGAGAAGAATGTCATCCATATAAATGAGGAAGTAAATTATGGTGTTATGAGATTGGTGTAACATCAAAGAATGGAGTCAGAAGAAGTGCAAGTAAATCCTTGTTGTTTGAGATAGTTGGAAAGAGAGGCATACCATTGACGGGGAGCTACTAACCTAGCTTTATGATTTGCTTTGCATTTGAGTTTAAAGATCCATATGAGTTTGAAATTTGAGAGCATTAGGTGGGGTAATTATCAGCATTAAGTTGATTATGAGCAATATACTTGATGTAGGAGATGAGAAATTTAAGGGATAATAGTAATAACACCGATTTTAAAAATAGATGTATCTTCAGGACCAGGGAAATGCATAGAGGAAATTGGAGAGTTGGCCAATAAAAAAATTTGAAACACCAAAAAAAGGTGGAAATAGGGGGAAGTAGAGAAAATGAATCAAGCAGCGCTTTGTGAATGTCATAAGACTGCCTTTCAGATACCGTGTTCAACAAATTGAGCCGCATAAAATAGAGAGATATTTGGAGAAGAGAAATTGTCAGATATGAAATATATTCTTGCTTTCTTTGATTTTACTGCTACGGAATACAAAACCGGCATATATATCCTAATACATCAAGTGTCAACATCATAACTGCAGCTGCATAAAGACTAATTTTCCATGGGGTTTTATGGATGCAGAGTTTGTTTTGCATTGAGAGCTAAGATTGGTTGTTCGGTTTGTCTCCTGTGGTGTAGATGAATTGGCAGAGAAGGTGCTGCTGTTGTTGCCTTTGCATAATGACTGAATCAATATTGTTATCACTCTAAAGTTTAAACCAATTTAACCAAGTATTCATCATTCATTCTTTAAATAGATATTCTGCGGCAATATTTTTAATGATGATTGACTCGAGAAATCTTTAAGACACTGATGCAATCAAAGTTTCTAAATATTTTATGGAGAACACTTAGGAAAGCAATTAGAGAACTTTTTCCTTTCAATAAAGCATAAACATCCACATATAAAACTAAAAGTAGGAACAAGCTCGAGAAAGCGGCTTACAAATCCGTAAACATAAAGAAATGACAAGGTTACCTTCAGAACAACCGACAAGCGGTCACTTCATATGCAAAGCTCGAAATATAAGGGATATCTGCTCAAAGGATAGATCTAACTCATAATCCACCACAGAAATGATCTGGCATAAGTCCACTCCTCCAGCAAATACCAACCAAAACGTGGTAGCAAACACCACCAAGCTCATAAGAGAAGAAGGATACAGATGGGGCGGGAACCATGGATAGAGAAGAAGGGATTAGAAGACCGAGGCCAGCTAAAAAATCCACAGGTTTGTATGTAAAACACTTCACCAAAACTACCTCAAACTGCAGGAAAACAACCACTATATATAGGAGGGAAAAGGGAGAAAACATTTAATGCAAGGTAATTAAAGCACCACCCAAACAATCACTAGAATTCCCTTGAAAACCGCATCAAATAGGGACCGGAGGGACAACATCTAGGGGGAAAACAATGCATAAATATAGCAGCTAATGGGCACAAGAACCAAAGGGACAGCTGCCCAAACCGAGAGAACAACAACTAGGGGAAAACAAGGCATTAATACAGTAGCTAATGGGCACAAAAATCAAAGGGACAGCTACCCAAACCGAGGGGACAATAGCTAGGGGAAAACAAGACATTAATACAGCAGCTAATGGGCACAAAAACCGAATGGACAACTGCCCAAACTGAGGAGACAGCAGCTAGGTCAAAACAAGGCATTATACAACAACTAATGGGCACAAAAACTGAAGGGTTAGCTGCCCAAACCGAGAGGACAACAGCTAGGGGAAAACAAGGCATGAATACAACAACTAATAGGCACAAAAACCGAAGAGACAACTGCCCAAACCAAAGGACAGCTACCCAAACCAAGGGGGCAGCGGCCAAGGGAAAAAACCGAGGAAAACAAGGCCCACGAGGGGACAAACCAGCAGCCCACTAAGGGAAAAACCAAAGAAAAAAGGTGAAGGATAGAGAAAGACATTCATAAGAGCACCAACTTAGCATGATCATCAATTGTCTTCCATCATAGGGAAACCCAAAAAAAAACAAAGAGTCCAAAACATGAAAAAAATTAAAATATATATATAAAAAAATAAAACATAGAATGATAATCCTTCATTGCATCAGACACCCATCAACACTTCAGTTTGCTTTAACATTACATAGACAGGCCAAAAACTCTATGAGTGCATATTATAATATAGAACTATTAAAAACTCCAGGAAAAGTTACACGGCAATGAAACTTACTATTATACCACTAAATCTTGGACAAGATTGAGAATGCTAATTAAAATTACCAAGATAGGATAGTCTACAAATTCTCACCTGTACATTTTTCAAGAGCTTCTGAATGAGGAATTTTAATACTTGTTTCTTTGTATGGCACAAATAGAAGAGGAAATTCTGACCTCAAATCCAATTCCCATACGGCAAGTTCTGATTCCCCTTTGTTCTTTCCATCAACTTCACCACCAGAGTATGGCTCTATTGCCCTAATAGTTTCTCTCTCTTCTATAAAAGTTTCTAAAGTTCCAACATAGACATTGCAATCCTCAATTGAAACAATCTTCCAGGTCCTGGCTGGCCTGCTTCCCCAGCAAAAATGATGCCCAACATGATTTATAAGTAAATGTCGGATCTCGACTTCATCTAGTATTTGCCTATAAGTGATCCAGATAAAAACTCATCAGCCATAAATAAAGATTCTAACATGAATCATCAGCAGCTTAGAATAATTATACAGTCTCAGTAATCTTAGGAAATACTCTAAACCAAACGGTTAATTAGCTGAATGAGAATCATGAAAGAATCTCAGAATAAATTTCAGTTGATCACAGTAACAGTGAGACTAACAGAGATGAAGAAAATACAAATGCCATAAAAGATGTAATTGGGGATTCAAAGAAGCAAACAAGTTGAATTAGATTGTTTAGATTTTAATTTTGCCTATAGAATTAAAAAGAGAATTGATGCACTGCATTGGAGGTTAAGCATAATCATAGAATGCTTCCCTTTAAAAAAAAAAAACCAAACACATGGCACGTTGTTTGAGCTAATATTAGTTGGAATTCTTAAATTTTAAGCTATTGCATTTTACTAGTACTTGTAAGCAGTATGCTCTTCTGTGGGATAAATGTCAGTGGAAATAGCTAATAAAGATGGATAATTCTATTAGATGAAAGCCATATAAAAGTCTGTTAGTGTTTTCAATTGCAGCTGACAGTTTTAAATTCAATTGATCTGTGATGAGGAAACAAAATTTTGTCAAAATATAACTTCGTCAAAGACAAGCTCAAAAAGTGCGTGCACAGAACTTATCATGAAAGGCATTGACTCAAGAATAAGTTCTCCTTTCCAATCTAAGCCAAGCAAAAGGGCAGCAATGCAAACCTCCCAAATTCATTTGTAGCATATCCCTGTGGATCTCTGCCATAGTCAGGTTTAGACACGATCACTTGATCTGCAAATGGTAGGAAAGACAAAACAACAAGAACACATTTAATAAAGTGAGATATGCCAAGCATGCAGAAAAATAGAAGAAGGTACATACCTCCTCTTCATCGAAAGAAATGAGATTTTTGTTTTTGGCGGATAGGGTAAAAAAAAAGAATTCACTAAATTAACCAAATTTCCTTGATGACATGAATTTTATAAAAAAAAAAAAAAAAATCTTAAGTTAAAAAAGCAGCTTAAAAACTAGAATTTAACCTCCACCAAATCTTGCTGGTCAAAGAAATATCAAGTTCCATTTACAGAATTATGTGATGATCAATTCTCGCACGGACATTTTATTTAAATGAAAAGTAACAACTTTAATAAAAAAATGGCCATTTACAAATGCCTGAACATAATGACTTCAAAGTCAGCCTACTGGCCTCAAATATCTGCAGCAAGATTCTCTACCTTCTATACTAATATCTCTGAAACAGATGTTCAATTATTTCCATAAAATCCTGTTTAAAATCTGAAGGTCAAAGCAACTTCTAAGTTCAGTTGCACAAGCACTTGAAGGTTATCTTTCTTTAGGACAGATAAAGTTAGTAAAATGTGTTGATTTTTTCTTAGGGCTCATTTGGTTGCTTGTAAATCTAAAACATGTTCAAGAAAATGATGATTTTGTTTTCACTAATTTTGAATGTGAAAAGAAAAAGAAAGCATCGCATTTGAATGATTTTGAAGTTGTTTATCGAGTTTTAAATCAGTACTAATTTCCAAGTGCATACAACCAAACAACAAAATCTCGCAAATTCAACTTTTTTTAAAACATCAACAAAAAAAAAACATTTTTAAAAACATGTTTTCTAATTTCAAGCAAACAAATGGCACAAGAGGAATGAAACCGTAACTAGAAGAAGCCAGATATCACATTCTCGACAAAAGGGCAAACGAAAAGTGAATTTTACCAGTTCACAGACTTCAAGATCTTTTCACAAAATGAATTAACATGACAAAGAAACCAGCATAAAACCCCGCCATCAGTTAAGGATGCAATCCAAATATCGTTTAATATACCTTGATGATTATACGATTCCGGGGAGGAAACGACCGCTCCGTAGATGGACGTGGGGTAGACGGACTCTGAGAAGATAGGGGCAGCTCTGATCTCATTGACGCTTACCTCCTCCCCAACAGCAGCAAGTGATGGAACGTGCACAGAAGCGCTCCTGCCAACGTGCTGGTAAGACCTCCAACCTTCATCTTTCTTGCCGCGAGCTTCTACTGCCCAGAGGATGTTCAATGAAATGCATCATACAGAATTCGAAATCAGAAACCCCAGAGTATTAGTGGAGAGGCGAAAGCGTACCTGAGAGTAGGGGTTGTTCCATCTTTTGGCGAGCGAGAGATCTACAGAGCGATGAGCAGGAGAAGATCGGATGGTTAAATCAGTGACTGCACTGGCTTTCGTTTCTTAATAGCTAAGAACGCTCGCGAGCCGGAGCTAACGCGGAAAGTGGTTGTTGGCTCGCGGAAAAATTGACTATAAAAATCTCAGCAATTAGCATAATAGGATGTTTTGTTTTTTCGTCTTTCCGTTTCTGCCGTACCATAATGGATGTTTGAATATATTTTAATATATAAATAAATGAATTTATATTATAATCATTTTAAATCAGAAAAAAAAGTTATTCTTGATATAATTTAAGTCTATCAAAATGAACTTTTAAAATCATTAACATTTTATATTAATGTTATACTCATAATTTGCATTGTAATTATCTTAAAAAAAAACAACAATTTTGACTTCATCCTTATATATATATATATATATATTCATAGCGGATTTTTTTCTTTTCATTAAAATTAAATATTATAGAATTCTGATCAAATTTTAATTATAAATAAAATTTTAAGTTTACATGCCACCACAAAATCTAAAATAAGATAAGCATGCTCATTATTTTATTTTCTGCGAAAATAACTAACTCCTTTTGAATTAAAATACTATCGCTTTTGAACAAATAAGTAGAACCCTCATTAAACTAGGTTATGTAACCCTTCATATGTTCCTTCTTATTAGAACAGCAAAATGAAATAACTTAAAGTCCTATACATTCTTGCTATCCTATGTTAAGTTGACACGTGTATTGCCTACCATGTACTATCTCTATATATGTCTCTCATGTAAGTCTATTGAATGATGAGATGAGTTAATATTTTATGTTCAATCTTCTCTGTTCCGACATTTTCCTCTTCCCGTGCTTCTTGAAATTTCTTCATGGTATAAAGAGTCATTCTTTCCTAAAGACCCTCCCATGGCGAGTTCGGCGTTAGCCTCTTCCAACACAGGCAACGTCTCTGGTGATATGCCTGCCAAGACCCTCATCGATCCCTCCCTCAAGTTTGTCGTCGCCAATCTCAAATCTCTCATCCCTCATCCTCTTTCCTCGGATAACTATTCGATATGGAGCAATCAAATCACAAAACTGCTCAAGGCAAACGAATTTGCAAATTTTCTAGATCCATCCTCTATCTCTACGCATCACCTGCTCGGTCAAGAACCAGAAAACGCAGACCCCAACTTCCTGCACACAAAATGGATCATCACTGATCAGAACCTTGCAGCGGCACTCTGTTCTACAATTTCTCCTCAGATTCTTCCATAGGCCGTGCATCTGGAGTCCACATCTGAGATTAGAAAGGCGCTCCAAACTCGTTTCTAGTCGACGAATCGCTCCAAGGCGATCCAGCTCAAAAATGAGCTACACAACATATCCATGAAAAATCTCTCTATGATTCAGTATCTTACTGTGATCAAGAAACTTGTTGATCAAATCATGTATGCCGGTGCCAAACTGGATGCTGAAGACACCATACACTACATATTAAATGGTCTTCCGCAGACATACAACTCATTTAAAACATATGTTCGTACAATGCAAACTCCTCTGAATCTTGACAACCTATATGCCCTCCTCATCAGTGAAGAAATTCACATTCAAACTGATGCATCAAAACATCCAGTCATGTCGGACAACAATGTTGCGCTATACACAAACAAGGGTTGCGGAAGGAGAGGTCGCGGACGACCGAATCAGCCAGGAACTCAGTATTAGCGCTCAAGTGTCGTATCCAATCTTGTTTGCCAAATATGCACGAAGAAAGGTCACTCTGCCGATGTATGTTAGCATCGACTGAATATCAACTACACACCAATGTCATATTCTTCCAAGAACAATAATGCGCTTCTTGCTACAGACGAAACCTCTTCAGCCGATTGGTACCTTGATTCAGGAGCATCATCCCATATGACAGATGCAGCGGTCAATCTTTACAACGTCAAAGATTATCAAGGATCAGACACTATGACTATTGGGGACGAAAGGTCTATTCCCATAGCTCACTCGAGCTCGGGCATACTTCCCACCCCGTCTCGTAAGCTTCACCTCGCACAACTTCTTCATGTTCCATCCATTTCACACAATCTTTTATCAATTTCAAACTTAGTTAAGGATAATCATATATCCATTACATTTGATTCTAACGGGTTTGTGTTTAAGGATTTGCTTACCAACAAACAGCTCCTCAAAGGCCCATGTAAGCAAGCCCTCTACCGGATCCCATTACAGAATCATCAGGCAAATCCTACGGCTATGTCTGCTACGTCAATCATGGCGCAAGTGTGGCACAATCGCCTTGGTCATCCAAATCAAAGGATTCTTCGACGTATTACCTGCAACAACTTAAAGCTGAATATACTAAATTTCATGCCTTCTTGTCTGTCTTGTAAAACTTGCAAAAGTCACATAATACCTTTTTCAATTTCTCAGAATAGAAAACATAATATTTTAGAAGTGGTTCACTCTGATGTGTGGGGACTGTCGCCGGTTTCATCACATCAGAGGTTTAGATTTTATGTCATCTTTGTGGATAAATTTTCCCGTTTTACTTGGTTCTTTCCCATTATGCACAAATCTGATGTTACTCAACATTTTATTGATTTCACTAATTTTATTGAACGTCAAACAAATAAGAAGCTCAAAGAGATTCGTACATATGGAGGATGTGAATACATAAACACTCAATTTAAGAACTTCACGCAATTAAAGGGCATTCTTCACCAAACCTCATGTCCCTATACTCTGGAGCAGAATGGCCTCGCCGAACGCAAGCATCTCCGCATCATGGAAACTACAAGAACCTTACTGGCCACTGCATCTATGCCGCACACCATCTGGGCTGATGCGGCATCCACAGCTACCTATCTCATAAACAGGCTCCCATCAACTACTACAAACTCTGTCTCTCCTATACAGCTGATGTTCAACATATACCCGTCTTATTCACACTTGCAAACACTCGGTTGTGAATGTTTTCCCTTAACTTTATCTCAAGATCGAACCAAACTTCATCCCAAAGCATCCTCCTGTGTCTTTATGCGCACTCAGACACTCAAAAAGGCTACAAATGCACAAATCTTAACACAACCCGAATAGTTATCTCAATACATGTCCAATTTAATGAATCTTTCTTCCCATTTCAGCATCTTAAACTCGACAATTCTCTCTCTGATGCTGACTTATCTCCAGCTCTACTCATTCCTGCATCCATCGCCAAACTCCATACTACCTCACATAACATCACTCCTAAACGTCCCTCTCCACTTAATGACACTACATCTCCTAACCATTCCTCTCAGCCTACTGAACCTATATCCATGCCAAATCAGATTACTTATGCAACACAAAGTCACCAGCCACCATCTAAGCATCACATGATCACCAGACTTAAATCTGGCTCTCTCTAGCCATCCACACGACTTAATCTGCTTCACACTGCATCTGGTGCACCAATCCATTCAGATCCCACCAGCTACAATGAAGCCAACAAAAGTCCTCAGTGGAGACAAGCAATGGTGTCCGAATTATTTGCACTCCAACAGCAAGGTACATGGTTACTGATTCCACCTTCCCCTAATGCATCTATTCTGGGATGCAAGTGGACTTACAGAACAAAATATAACTCGGACGGCTCAATAGCTCGACTGAAAGCTCATCTAGTTGCTTAAGGGAACAGACAAGAATATGGTCTTGACTATAATGAAACATTCAGCCCAGTTGCTAAACTTCCAACCATACGCATCCTCTTAACAATTGCACTATTTCACGGATGGACGGTTCAACAACTGGATGTCACAAACACCTTTCTGCACGGGACTCTCGCGAAAACAGTGTACATGCGGCAGCCAAAGGGCTTCGAAGACACCACACATCCTGAACATGTATGTCTTATGCATAAAGCTATATATGGCTTAAAACAGGCTCCCCGGCAGTGGTACACAACATTCACCAACTATCTCATTAGCATCAGTTTCAAGCAAAGCCAAGTGGATCAATCACTGCTCACACTTCATCAAGATCAAACTCAAATCTATTTACTAGTTTATGTTCATACTACTCACCGAAAATAACATGAATGCAATTGCAGACCTTCTTCAAAAACTGCATCACTGGTTCAACATGAGCAGCTCGGTCCAGCTAATCATTTTCTTGGCATCAAGATACAATCATCTACAGATAAGTACTTTCTTTCACAAACTCAGTACGCTCAATCTATTATTCAACAAGAAAATCTAAAAAATTATAATTCTATCGCAAATCCCTTATGTACAAAACTTCCCACTCAAATTTCTGAACTCGATTACTTGTCTGACTCAAACACTTATTGCAGGATAACAGGTGCTCTACAATACTTAACAATCACACGTCCGAACATCACTTATGTCGTCAACATATTGTCTCAACATATGCATGATCCAACCAGTACTCATGCATATATATTAAAAAGGCTTATACGCTACTTAAAGGAACTCTAGACTATGGATTACTGATCACCAAATCCACTCTAAAACTTCACACTTTCTCTGATGCAGGCTGGGCTGGAGATCCAATTACCAGACGATCTACCTTGGGCTATTGCACGTTTCTTGGAGAAACTATTGTCTCATGGACTGTCAAGAAACAAATCACAGTATCCCGATCCTCAACTAAATTGGAGTACCGTGCGTTGGCTGCAACAACCGCGGATGCTATTTGGATAAAACAGCTGCTATCAGACTTTCTTATACCATACAACACACCCATATAAATGTTCTTCGACAACATGTATGCGACTTCTCTCGCCACCAATCTGGTGTTCCACGCTATAACAAAGCACATATAAATACATCAAAGATTTATTAGAGATAACATTCACAACAACAACATCAAACTTCTTCCAATCAGCACAACAGATCAAACAGCTGACATTCTTACGAAGCCGCTGTCCACTCCTAGATTCAAATACCTTCGATCCAAACTGATGATTTCGCACGAATCCTCAGTTTGTGGGGTTCTATTAGAACAACAAAATGAAATAAATTAAGTCCTATACATTCTTGATGTCCTATGTTAAGTTGACACATGTATTGCCTACCATACTATCTTTATATATGTCTCTCATGTAAGTCTATTGAATGATGAGATGAGTTAATACTTTCTGTTCAATCTTCTCTGTTCCGACATTTTCTTCTTCTCGTGCTTCTTGAGATTTCTTCACTTCTCTATCTCAAGCAATTGCTAAGTACAGTATTTTGGCAAAAATTTATGGCAATGATCTCTCCCTAATTATCGTATTTGAATGTTAGTGATGCTTTTTCGATTTGTACTTTAGAGTTGAAAACATTTTTCACACTCTAAACCCTAAACCCTTTGGATGTTAAACTTCAATATACTTGCTAGTTGTCATTTTTGGACAATCCTCCAACCACATTTATTGTTTGAACAATGATTGAATCATGGCTAAACAATTCCACCAATTTTAAAATATAAGTGAAATTGATTCAATATTTTTTCAAAAAATGATTGTCACATTTTCGCCTTATTCAAACATATACGAACCTAATCCAAACTCTTTATTGAAACAATGTTCGAACCTCTTTGAAATATAGATCAAGGGTCTAACATAATTTTGATTTGGTGTTCGAAAAAAAATCCGAATAAGCTAAAACATGCCTAAAATGTGCCAAAGTTGATTTCAATGTTGCTAAATAAGTTCAAAAATATTTTTGGATTGACTCATTTAGTTTGTTTTACTATGCATGCATATGTATGTTAATCTTACTAATTCAAACTTTTGATAAAAACTATGTTTGGCCCTAATCAAATAATTGATCAAAGCCAAGTATAGTTTCGATTAAGAGTTATAATAATACCATTAGAATTAATTCGAGAAAGCAAAAAAAGCATTAGAATTGATTCACATATTGCTAAATGTTTAAATTCATTTTAGGATTTACTCATTTGAGTTGTTCTACTATGTATGCAAACGTATGAGCTAATCATACCCATCGATAGGCATTATTCAACTCGGGTCACATCTAGAGCCGCAAAAGGGTTATGAAAGATGCTTGGGAAATTTGAGGCAATTACCACATTACCTAGGTTGAAGGATTTCTCTTTGGACCCTTCTTCAGAGAGCTCATGAAATTCAATTATTTGATACCCTAATTCATCAATTATTATTGAGAATAGTTAATAATAAAGAGAATGATGAGAACTTCATTGTATTCAATGTTAAACAGAAGAACATGGCCTTGAGATTATAGAGTTTGATTTAGTTACATGTTAAAATATTAATAAATCTCATCTTATGGCAAGTTCGAAATGATGACAAGGAGTGGCAAGTTGTTTAAAAGCTACATCAGTGGGGATATGAATTTCAAGAACACAAACATAAAAAATGTTTTCACAAACTGAACTAACAAAGATGATTTATGGAAGCTTAGATTGTACTTTCATAAAGTGAACCCTCATAGTGTCCTCTCTAATCATGACAATCACACCACTATCTTAACTAAACTAATTCACATTGTTGAAGATGATAATGCCTTTTTTAGATGCATTTGAGATAGGCTATCGCAGGAGAGGACACTATGAGGGTTGAAGAACATCTTACACAATGAGGCGCATAAAGTTAGGAAGAATGACATGCCCCATCCCAATATATTGTAACTAGATAAATCATATCACTATATTATTGGGTTTATAAAGCCATTCTAGCTATGGGGAAGACATGTGTTGGGTTCCTTAGGGATGGAGTGGGTATTGAGCTGAAATAGAAAAAAGAATCTCGCAATCAAAGATTTTCTACCATGGCTCATGAATAAATGTAAGTGTTTATTTTTTATGGTGTAAAATTAGAAAGAACTAATAAGTAAATGTGTACAATATGTAAATATATTTTTCCTTTCTTATTTTGTAGGGAGTTATTTATCATAAGATATCATATAGAGCTAAAAAAGATGACTTTTATAAATCTATTGTATATACTCTCAGTTAGCCTATCATAATTAATAATATAATGAGGAAACTATGCCATCGTTTTATAGGTTTTGAATAGCATTTAAGTCAACCCCGAATTTTTCTGCTTCCGCGTTAATAATATTTTGTAGAACATGATAAATCTGCACAAAAAATTAAAACTAATATTAACAAATACATGATTGTGTTATATTTGTGTTATAGTTGCACTATAGTTGTGCTATAGTTGCTTTATAAATGTGCTTTAGTTGCACTATAGTTATGCTAAGTTGCGCTAAAGTTGCGCTTTGTTTGTGTTTGGTATCAAAAATTTATCAAATGAAATTTAGTTTTAAAATGTACCTCATTTGTCTTTAAAATTTTAAATAAGATCATAACACTGTCTTGGGTATAGAATATTTCAATATTCTCCTCCTATCTCAAAAAAACGTGATCTTAATTATGGATTGAATGATTTATTTATGGAGAAGTGTTTCAAACATCAAATTTGTATAATACCACACATAAAATATTATTACTTAACATTAAAAACCATTATGAGAGAAAAAAAATCAGACAAAACTTATCAGTAGGAGAAAAAAAATATTGATAGAACACAATGGTTTATCCATTGCAAACAAGTTTACAATTTTATCGAATTCCTCGATCATAAAATCCCTTAAACATGAAGCCCAATTAATAGAAGAGAATTATTTACATTATTTGCTATATATATGGGTCTTCTAGGGATTTTATGGTTATTTAGTAGAAAAAATAGATTATATAACAAAAATATTATAAAGTTCTTTAACTTAGTTGTATTATGAGTTGATATATTTAATTTTGTCATTTTAGTTTTTATTTCACTTGATAGAGGCCCTATGAGGGGATCAATATTCTATTTGATTTCATCACATAGGTTAGGCAAATATGTGAGAAGATTTTTTATTTAATTAGCTAAACATAATACATTGAAAAAAAAATATATTCATAATTCCTTATTTTAAATCAGACATGTTAGCAAAGAAACCTCAACAGAAGTGAATTTAAGTAAATGACCATTCACAACGAAGCCTTCATCAAAAGAATTAAAAAATTTCAAAATCTCATATAAAAGTGATATACAGTGCTAGAATGCTGAAAACTTCTAAAATTGATGAATGTTCAAATTCCTTAAAGTTTGCTCAACTTCTTGATTAGTTATCTCGGCTAAATCGTCACAATTTTTTTTGAAAGTGGTAACATATCATCGAGAAGTAACTATCATTTTATACGGTATCTGGAAAAAAATTATAAAAGCAAATTAAAAAAAGCTCAAATAAAGCACAACTGAAGTGCAACTAAAAATCAATTTCAAAATCATGTAATGTATCTCATATTCATTGATGAAGAAGATTGAAAAATAAAACATAAACATTAAAAAAAAATATTGAACAAACTAGTGTTCATGAAATGAACCCTAAATCCTAAAAAGTTAAATATTACATAACGTGCAACAAATACGCAATATAGGCACAACAAAGGAGCAAAATTGCCTTTTCTTAAATGTAGCTTAAGTACTCCAACGTCGTCTACCGCCGAGAAGAAGGTCTTGCAGAATGGAAATGCCGAAGGATTGAAAAACTGCACGAGTCCAAGGCCAAAGAGTGAGAGAGAAGTGAAAATGTCAGGTGAAAAGTAAAAAACGCTTCATTTCCATTCTTGTATTCTTGAATTCAAATCATCTGGGTTAGTGGGACGGGTCGATCGGGCTAACAAGACATAAAACATAAATTCATATTAAAAAAAAATATCACGGTTTATTCATCCACATGTCCAATTTTTATTGGCATCCGAACCCAGAGCTAGGTCAGGGAACCAGACCTAATAATTTTCCGTCCAAACAACCCCTTAATTAGGTATATATTCATGCTTGCCATTTTGAACGGGATAACATATTTGATATTATGTTCAAATTTGAGAGATTAAGTCAGATTAAGTATAGGCTGATTAACTCTAACTATTTTAAATTTGTTAAAATGATAAAATATAAAATATAATTCATTTTGGACTTATGAAATTGAAATCTAGCATAAAACTTAGGGGTTGTTTGGTAGCACTCAGGATTTCATTTAAGAAGGATTTCGTAATCCTCTAAATCTAAATTTACGAAATCCTGAGGAGGTAAATCTTGAAAATTGTTTGACAACATTTATGATAAATCCTATGTGACTGTTTGGCTATACAATTAAGAATTTAAGACAATTAAAATATTTGACGTGTATTTCTTGGATAATTAAAGCATTTAAGATGGTTAAAATATTTAAGAGAGTTAATTATTATTTATAATATTTTATAACAATCATTTGCACTTAAAATCATATTTTATCCTATTAATTATTTTGAAATAACTAAGTATTTAACTAATAATTTTAGTAATAATTTAATTAGTATTACTTAATTTTTAATATTTTAAATTATATTACTTAAGTTCTCCAACAATAACTTGTCTAGGTTTTGCCTTTCTCGTCTTATTTCTTTCGGCTTCGTTCCTTCGCAGGAGTGTAAAGTTTTGTACGAGTTCTACTTCGTTCGTGGCTGTTCGACTTCGCTCCTTCGACGACGAGCGGAAGTTACGACATTTTTTGATCGGAAACAACTGGAGCTCGCTTGCTGTGAAGGTAACTTTCTCCAAATCCCGTAAATCAGCCGAACCAAAGGATTTCGTGAATCCGGGATTTACCACGAAAAGAGGGAATTTTCCGTCAACCGCGGCTTTGATTTACCGTGAGATTTGGTTTTGCATTTTTGGCCGTTTGGCTGGGATTTAGCTCAAATCCGCTTCAAATCCGGTCTAAATCCTGCATCCAAACAGCCCCGTAATGTCCATTATTCTTATTATATGGTCGGTTTTAAGCTCATTTCTCGGTAAATGCATTTTATTAATGTCAATGAATATACATTTTATTTGGGTTTTCTTACAAATAGTTAGAATGTTAATTAATTCTTTGAAAATATTTGATTTAAGGAATATTTTAAGATTTTTGTTGTTGTTATTCTTTGCTTGGGGCTTCTTAGCATTAGTTTTCGCATGGTAATGAATATATTTTGGTTATAGATTCTATTGAATTTAGAGTTTATGAAGTTGAAGTTGGGTTAGATTTGAGTCACAGTTGAACCATAAGAGCACTCTTGATTTTCTTGAGGTAGGCGACTCCTAATCTTTGTTGAGGGATCGACACACCTTTCATTAGGGGAGTTCTAATGATGTTTGGATATGATATTTTTTTTTAATGTCTTAGTCCATTTGTGGTCATGATTGTTCGACAAGTTTTACATTGACTGTCGACTACCAAATGCAACTCTTCGCTTTTCTCATCCAGAGCTTGGGACCTGGTAATGACAGTATCATACATTAAAACTATAGAAGAGAGTAATTGAGCATGCATGGGTTAAGACATGATACTAATGTTTCTCAAAATCTATTTGGATTCATGCTGGGTAGGTCTACTATGGAAGCTTACTTTTGTTGAGAGGTTTGATGGAGAATTATAGAGGGAACAAGGAGGATCTACATATGATATTTATTGATTTGTAGACAACATAGGATAAAGTTCCAAGGGAAGTGCTTTGGAGAGTTCTAGAAAAGAAATGAGTTAATAATGCTTATATTCAAGTCATTAATGATATGCATGTTGGAGCTGTTACTTGTGTTCAATCACAAGGCAAGGATATGTATGCAAGAGCTGTTACTTGTGTTCAATGAGGTATGACCTAGTATTTTCCTATTTCAGTTGGATTACATCAAAGATCAACTTTAAGCCTATATCTTTTTGCTTTAGCTATGGATGTTATTACTATAAATTTGCAAGAGGATGTATCATGATGTATGCTTTTTGTTGATTATATTCATCTTATTGATGAGAATAGAGAGAGAGTTAAAGGAAAACTTGAATTATGGAGGCTAACCTTAGAGTCTAAAGGTTTTCATTTGAGTTGATATGAAACTGAATAAATGGAGTGTAATTTTAGTAGTATTAAATCTAGTGTGGGGATTGTAATTTTGGGAGATTGAGTTATTAAAAAAGAGTATATATTTTAGATATCTCAAGTCTATTGTTCAAAGTAATGGTGAAATAAATGGGGATATTATTAGTAGAATTCAAGTTGGATGGTTGAAGTGGCATAATGCATCAGGCTTGTTGTGCGATAGAAAAGTACCCCTCAAACTTAAGTGAAAATTCTATAAAATGATGGTTAGACCTGCAATGCTTTATAGCGTAGAATGTTGGCCATTAAAAGAGAAGCATAAAATTAAGTTCTGTGTTGCAGAGATGAGGATGCTCAGGTGGATGAGTGACTTTACTCTTAGAGATAGAATATGAAACGAGTATATACGGGAAACGGTTGGGGTAGCTCTAGTAGCAGATAAGATTAGGAGAGTCACCATAGATGGTTTGGTCACATAAAATTGTAGCCTTCTGATGACCTGGTTAGGAGAGTAGATGTTTTATATTTGACCTATATTAAGAAAGACAATGGTTGACCTAAAAAGACTTGGTTAAAAATCATTATAAATTACCTTTTTTAATTATATTTAAATGAGGATTTGACTCTTAATAGGACACAATGGAGAAAAAAGATTCATATAGCCAACCCCACATATTGAGGTAAAGGCTTGATGTTGTAGTTGCTGTTGTAGTCTATTTGTGGTTTATTATTTGATAATTGCCATGTTTGCTTTTATTTTGAGTAGAGATATTTATCATATTAACAATTGGGCATGAATTGTATTTCCTTCATTATTGTATAATGCCATATTGCTTTAGTCCTCATGTCTCTGATATTGCTATGATGCCAATAAATCCATTATGGCTAACATATCTAGATATTGGTGGTGTATATTTGCTGTTGCATTGTTGCATAATACTCATTACATTTCACCTATGATGCACCGACACTTATCCTCAAAGAAGTGTCCAGTGTCCGACACTTATTTGACGCGACACTCGTCCGACACTCCTTCGACACGTGTCGGGCACGTCGAAAATGTGTCCAATTAAAAAAACATTAAATACAAATTGGACACACGTGTCTTATACACATATCTTAAATATTTTTTAATTTTTTAAAATATAATTTATTATATTTTGTGGGATTTAAATTAAATTTCTTATTTCCTATCCACAATACCAAATCAACGTCAGCACTTAATACCTATTCATCGAATATTCTCATTTTCACTTCTCTTTGACAGTGAATGTATTTTCATCTCCTCTCTCGGTGACTGATAAATTGCATCGGCGCCTGACTCTTGACATCCTAATACTAATCATTTTAAGCATAAATTCTTTTTAAATGACTTATTATTTCTAAATTATCTTTAAAATTATACTTATTTAATTTTATATACTATTTTTAAAATATAAAAACTATAATACCGTGTCCAACCCGTGTCCGTGTCCCATATTTTCAATAATTGATGTGTCTCGTGTCCATGTCATGTCATATCCGTGTCGCCGTGTCCGTGCCTGTGCATCTTAGCATTTCACATATATATAAAAGAATAAGGTTGACAAGTTTGATGCAAATGATTGTTGTTGTTACCTTATTTTGGCTTGCGTGACCAATAAGCTTTGTATTAAATCTGGCAACTGTATTGAGAGGGTTTGATGTACTGTCACATTGGTGACAACATTCCTATTAATAGCTTAGGTTACTGTGAGAGGCTGACACGCAATATATAAAAGTTTTGATGGAATATCCCTTGATATTTCCTTTATAGATGCGCACAGCGTGGATATTTGTTATTGTTTTAGCATTTAATTGCATTATTGTATTTTTTTTCCACAAATTGTTTATCGAAATATTGGCTATTGTTTAATGGTTGCTATTTCTAGATTTTCTTGCTTATATAAAATTTTCTAGCTTATACAGTTACAATATTTTGGATTTTACATGCTTGTTAATCATGTCATGTTATTGATCATATTGTTTGCTTTAGCCACACATTTTATGCCTTAATGAGTAGGTTTCTTGTACTTATATAGTGTGACACAACAAGAGGGGGGGGGGTGTGAATTGGTGTCTTTATAATAAAATTATCAAAAAATTAATAAAAGACACTTTGATAGTACTCTGTGGAATGAGCTAGTAAATATTTTTCAATTGAAATTAAATTATCTGGAGAGAATTCAAAACAAGATATAAACAAATTATGAATTTTTTTTAGCAATATAAAATTTTATTGCTAAACAAATCTTTCTTTCATAAATCCTAATTTTTCTTTTAATATAAAATTGCAACTTTATAATGATGAATGATCAAAATTAATTCATCAACTTTACAATGCAGGGTGTCGTAAATTATAAACAAATATCTCATCACAAATCCTGTGGGTATCATAAGAGTAATAGAGTATGGAAAAGAAAGAAAGTGCAAAACTTGTTTATAGTAGTTCAGTTTATCGGCCTATGTCCTCTGCTTGAGAATTAAATTGTTTTTCTCCTTTTATTCCAAGCAATGCAGATATGCCTCCTTCCTTTACGGGTATTGGAGAAATCCTTATACCTCCTTTTCTCCCTGAAAAGTATGGTTTCCCTAACAATATGACTTATTATTTCAGAATTATTGAAAATATCATACACATCATCAATACGGTCTAAATCACACAATATGATTTACTATAGATCAAGTTGTTTTAATTAATCATTTTTAAGTCGTTTCTAGGCCATTCTTTTATCTAAGATTTAACTCTTGTTTGTGTACTTAGTTGTTTCCTGTAAATCATACACCTTACACATATAAGAAGACTTTAACAAATATAAAAATACAAGCCTTTGATTTCTCGCTATTCCTCTTTCTCCTTGATGGCTTTAGATCCTTCATGAATGTCTCCTACTTGAGCTTAGGTTGAGTGCACCTTCACAAGCTTGATTGACATCCAAGTTGTATGTCCAGGACCTTCATCTATTGTATTACTGAGATGTTAGCAGAAATAGAAAACAATACACATAAACTCATCAACCAAAAATCAATGCAACTAATAATATTTATAAAAATCAAAACCTTGTAAGCTTATAGGCTTATGGTCTTTAATAGTATTGAGTTTGGTTTTGCAAGCATTTTCATGATGAATTTTTAGTTTTAGTAGATTCGTGTTTATCTCACACAAGAAGGTGATTAAGGTCATAATTTTAGTTGTATTATTTAATAATGAGTTAAAATATTTATTAAAATTTTGATTAATAAATTAGTTGGACGTAATTTGATTTTAGATGCTCTATCATATGTTTGGTGGATATTTATTGTTAAGGATAGTTTATTATTTATTAGATAACTATAGATTTATCAACTCGCCTTATCTTTTTGGGTTGGATTATTGTCAAATTTTTTGAGGATTGACTGTCGGGTTGTGATAAGTAGTATAAGATTCTAAGTGTCAATTTGTTAGGCTTAGTCTTTGAAGGGAGTTTTTTTATGCGTGAAAATTTAATGTCTTATAAATTTATAAATAGTTAAAAAATGTAGATGTCATGAGATGATAAAATTAGAGATAGTGTAATTTTTTATATTGATCTCATGGTACCCATAGGAACTTTGTGTTTAAATTGATTATCATGTTATTTTACATGTTCTATATTGCTTTTTTTAATATCTTGTGTTTCAGGATTTTCTTCAACATTCAAGAGATGAGACTAACATCTTCTTTAGCGTGCTAATCGTCCCCATGAGATCAATATCTTGAAATTCTCAATTGGTTGGAAAAAAATAGTAACATAATTTATATTATTGGTTATTTAATGCATGGTAATATATTGCATTTAAGTTTGGGAATAAAAAAAGTCGAAGTTAAAATGAAGGAATTACTGATTTTGATTGTCTCAATGCCAGCTTATTGAAACCCATAAACAATTGTGATTGTATAGTTTTTTAAACAAGGTTGAAGTGTGCGAAATAGAGAGAAAATCCTATCTTATAATCTGAAGTTATGGAGTCCACATTTCAGTACTGTAGATTTCTGTTTTGGGTGCTAATGGTATTAAAAGTTATAGCTTTTTGAGGAACTAAACAATGCTGATTTGAGGTTCTGTAGGATTTGATCGGTTTGGCTAAACATCTTTTGCAACATACCTATTTGTTCTAGGTTAAACAAAGAGGGTGGTTGTTTTGTTTGATCATGGCGGCCGATAAATGATGACATTGCTTCACTGATTTTCAATCAATAAGTTTTCTATTGAATTTCCATCAAGTTATTTTTTGTGTTTAAACTTGCGGTAGTGACATTAGAAGTATACATACCTTGAGAAAGCAAGGGTTGACCTCTTTGGGTAGGTTGAAGCTACGTGACATTCCATCATGATTTTTTTGCGTCTTTCTTCTCTACATGCTTTTATTTGGGAGATTTTTTATCCTAAATATTTAACCTCTGATTTCTTTAAGATTCTTATTTAGTACAAGAAGAAACTTAGATATAACAAATTTTGGATACTTGGCAGCGTCTCCAGGATACTCCTATTGTATGTTCTTCAAAGACATTCTACTATTGCCAAAACTAGGTCAAGGCATTGTAGTATGGGTTGACGGAGAAACCCCCTTTAATTTCAAGTAATTTTGCCATATTTTCATTGTCAGAGTAAGTTTTCTTTGCGACATCCATGATTTCTTTTGCGGTTCCAGAAAACATGAAATTTTGACCAATTTCATTTTCTATGATATTGATAAAACAATATATTATCATTTTTTTTCATATCTCTATACTCTGAATTTTGGATCTTGTTTTTGTGGAGGAATGGCATCACAAGTAAGACAATCATCTTTGATTCTGCCTCTGATGAATGTCATAACTATTTAGGCCTATCGGAGCTAATTTTGCCCATTTAATTTGTGCCTAATAAGAAGTTTTCACTTAACATTTTGAGTCTATTTATGTATTTACCATTTTTTGAAGATTAATGGAGTGATGAATTATCTTTTCTCGTAACACCATATCTCTGTTTTCCTTCATGATTTGAGTCTCCTTTTTCTTCCCCAAATAATGACTGAATATTGTTAGTAGGTTTATAATGAAGACAACTTCTCGAAAAAATTCAAACAGTTAACTTTTTTGATGGATCTAAAATAATCATATTTTGGCCACATCTTCACTTCGGTAACATGATTAGAAAAATAGTGTTTGTATTTTTATTTTTATGCACTATATAGTCTAGAGGTATTTTTTTGGGTTTGCATAATCTCGTATTGAAAGAAGACTCTTACCGATTTCTTCTACTTATTTTGATGTATCACAATTATTTTCTTATTGTCTTTCTCTAAGCAGTTTCTATGAAAACATTTGTAATTTGCTATTATTTTCTTTTGATTTTGGTACTATATTGAAAATCTAATAATTATCTTTTTTTTGCAGCTTTTATGTCAGGATCAGACATCAGCATCCAGGAGTTTCATAAGATTTAGCTAGAAGTTTTGATTTTGGGATCTTCAACTATTTTATTATGTCAGAGGAGGAAGCAGTACGATCCAGAGAGCAGCAAGGTGAGGAAGAAATTGGAGGAAATCAAAGAGTTTATGATCACGAGGAGATGGAAATAGATATTGAAACAGAGAAATCAAGGGAAATGAGAAAGCCTGATACTAAGCAGGGAAAGAAAGAAAGGCGGGAAGAAAAGGACTATGGAGGTAAGGATAAGGAGAGGTCAAAGCAAAGGGAAAAAGAGGATATTTCTGCTAGGAACACCGACAAACATGGTTCAAGGGAACGGTTGGGCATTAGTAGAGGAAAAAGGAAGGAAGATCAGGAGGATTATGGTAAGAAGATGGAGGAGCTTGAGCTGGACAAAGAGAAAGTTAGGGACAAGATTCGGGAGAGGGATTATGATCAAATAATGCATCGAGAGGATAGAGAAAATGAAAGAGCAAAATATAAAGGGAAGGAACATGAGAAGGGAAAAGATATCGATCATAACAAAGAGAAGAGCATTGATAGGGAGTGTGAGCTAGGCCGAGGTCATGGAAAGGATAGAGGAAGGGAGGGAAAATTTAAAGAAAAGGAACGTGACAGAGACAAAGATATAGGTCGTAGTAGAGAGCGAAGCATTGATAGGGAGCATGATCAAAGTCGAGATCATTTGAAGGATAGGTCAAGGGAGGGTGAGAAGGAAAAAGAGGTTGAGAGGGATAGAGGATTTCATCGTGAGCGTGAGCACAAGAAAGAGAGGGAAAGGTTACATGATTATCATAAGGATCGAGGCAAAAATTGTGAAAGTGATAAAGATAAAGAACATGATAAGAGTAAAATTCGTGATAGGGATCATGACAAGGATATTGGTAAAGAGTTCGAAAGAGATAGAGTGAGAGAGAAAGATCGTGTACGGGGAAAGGAAAAAGACAAGGATCGTTACAGGTCAAAAGATAGAGAAAGGGAAAAATTAAAAGATCGAGAAAAGGAAATAGTTAGTGACAAATTAGGAGAGAGGGGTAAGCTTGAAAAGGACAAGGCCAAGAAAAAGAATAGAGAGATGGAAGTGGATATGACAGTAGACCATGATAGATCAAAAAGAAGAGATGAACAGAGGGATGTTATTATAGATAAAGAGGTTGAGGTGGAAGAAAACCTTCTTGCCAAAAAAATGGTAGAGATTCATGAAATTGGCGATGCTTCAAACAATATTTCTCTTGATGATCCTAGTGTGAAGGCGGTGGGTTCACAAACTTCCTCTGAGCTTAAGGAGCGTATAAAAAAGTAAGTTTTCTTGGATCTCTTTTTAAGTTGTTGATCTAATACTCTATGGAAACTCATCTATTTCTTATCAGCACTTGGGATCTACCAATTTTAATTAAGTTGAAAAACTATGGTTAATTTCAATTTTGATGCTTATCATATATATTATTCCTATTTACTTGACATATATTTTTTTTCATATGCATCTCTTTCCCTTAATGACATGCTCAGATCTTTGTTTTGTTTTACTATCACCACTTCCTTTGAAAGATATCTATTGATAGTAAAGTTGCTTTTACAAGAATCTTTTCTACATTTCCATGATTTTTATTGATTCGTTACTAAATTTTTCTTTGACTTGTATTTCGTTTATTTAAACATGCTAAACATAAGAGTTATCCTCTAATGGACAAAAATTAAATCAATGCACGAAAAAAACGTGTGTTTATAGTTGAAGGAATCATAGTTGTGCCAGTTGTATTACACATGTGCATGAACATGTACTCTATGTGTTATCTACAATTTAAGAACAACTGATCTAAACCTTTTATGAGGATTTATTCGTTCATCAAACTTATTGAAAAAATTGATAGCTGGTAATATATCTCACTTAAGTACTTCTTCAACATATTTTTTTGAAATCAAATCTATTGAGATTATTGTAGATGCCTTTTTATACATGCTTACCAAATTTATTTAATTTGAGCACTACAATATGAAATTAATAAATCATTTATTTAACTATCTAGAAGATCCATTCAACTATTATTGTTCTATGTTTGATGCATTATTAAATCATCTTAAAATTTTATGGCTTTTTTCATCATACCAACTTTTAGGCACATGTTCAATTGTTATATTTATATTATGCTATTGTATCAAGGTTTTAAAATTCGGTTTCAACTTCCAAACACATCATAACATTTCTAATTTCAGCGTTTTCATAGTTTTGTAAATGTCAGGAATTTATTTCGGTAAACTTTTAATAGAAAATATTATTTTTTTTAAGATTCAAAATGAAGAGAATTTCCTACTTGGTACTCAAAATTACAACACATGAAATTTGATGGAGCTTTAGTGCTAGAATTGTAGAATCGTGACTTAATATATTTGATAAAATTTTGTTAAAATCTATGAGTATTGGGTTTATTTTTTAATTTTTTTAATTTTTTTTTAGTATTGGGTTTATTTCTTGAAATTTCATTGTATTGAAACTCCCAAGGAATTTCTGTCAACTTTCTGAAACTAGGCAAATTTGAAAATATTAATGTCCTTTTATCGGCTTCAAACAAAACCAAATTGAAATCACCAAAATAGAACCTTAATCACCGAATTTTTATACCATGGTTTGAATGGTTAAAAAGAACGCATGTATGAAAGAATTTCTGATATTTATTTTGGGCTAGTCCCATGGTTTAAGGTTAGATCATTCCTACTTGTCGGGGAATGTTACACGCATGAGCTGACTTTCTATAGATTTGATTGGGGCATCATGCTTGCCGAGATAATCTCAATTTAACTTTATACTAGAGGTGATGATGTGATATAGAACTAAATGCATTGGTAGAAATGCAAGGCTTGAAATTACTCGCCTTTTTTAATTAGAGCAACAATAATTAAGTTAACTCGGAGAGATTTTAAACAAATCTTTAAAACAAGCAAGATGTAAATCAAGCTTAGGCCAAATTACACGATAAGAGTTAGAAGCATAAATAATCAATTTCAATCACAATTAGCATAGCATGGATGAGTTCAAAGGAAATCCCTATGTTAACATATAAACTAGACACTAATTGGATCCACTCACTCACACTCTTGATGTAGACTAAATAGAGATAGGTTGTACAACCTTTATGATGCCACAGATTAAAGGGAAGATTTAGAAAAGCAAAACACTTGGAGGAGAAATTCATATTTATCAGGATTTGGAAACGATCTGCCACTGAGCGGGAGAGAGTTATTCGTCGATAGTGGCGGCGAGGGAGAAGATAATCATTTCGACGTAGTCTTTTATGGTTTGATCGATCTCCAAGTTGATGTTGAAGAACAGAGATTTGAGGATATCAACTTGACCTTGATCGTTGTATTCAAACCTGTGGTCAAGTTCTGGATCCGCCATACATGAATGACAACAACTATGGGATGTAGGAAGCTCTTGGACAACAAAGAGGGGTTTTCCAGCAAGCAAGACAACAAAGAATTCATTCTGAAATTTCTGGACAAAAAGTGCAATTTGTTTTGGGAGAGGAAGGGATAGGAAAATAAAAGTCAGATTTTGGGGAGGGAAGGATTTGCTTTAGGTTTGAATTTGAATTGGGATCTTTAGAAGAAAGAAATCAAGGGAGGAGAGAGGGTAGGCCAGCAGGTAGAGGGGTGGAGTGGAGATGGGGAAGGGAATAATAGGGTTGCCAAAGAGGGATATTTAATTATGGAAGGGAATATTATGTCAAATCCCTAAGTAAATTAAATTGTTGTCATTTAGGAACTTTCTTATTTTAGGAAATAATTTCAAATTCAAGTTTGATTGGAATTTGAAATTAATAAGTTTCATAGTTTAAGATATTTAAAAACAAGGAAAGTAGTAAATGAGAATTTGAATTTTGGAGACAAAGAGGAGGGGAATGAGGCCGGTGGCTAGGGTTAGGATTAGGGTTTGGAGCCCGTGGTTGGGGGATGGCTTTGAGGCTTGGACCGGCGGTTTGGAGGAGGGAATGAGCCTTGAAACCGACGATTGGGGAGGAGGGGATGAACCTTGTGGCCGGCTGCTTGGAGGTGGAAGAGGGTGTGGTCGGCCGAGATTGTGGTGGTGGTGGTGGGGGTTCGTCCGAGAGGGAGAAGGGGAGTGATGGCCGGTGGCTTGAGGAGGAGGAGACTTAAAGCCGGCGGCTAGAAGGGGGTTTGGCAGGTGGTTAATGGAGGAGGAGGAGGTGGATTAGAGAAAGAAGGTTAACCACGAGCCCAGACGCTGCTTGCGGCTGGTGGGTGATCCGTTGCCCTCACCTAGGGTTCTGACCAAAGCTTTCTCTGAAAGCAAATAAGTGATAATTGCTGAAATTTCATGATAACTTCATTAACCATCATAAGAATAGGAGGAGGCTATAAATAGCCCCCACATACAATAACAAAACAAAAGACAATAGTATCCCTTGGGGTCACAAACATCTACTCCCTCAAGTGAGGGAAAAATCGGAAAATAAACAACAATAAATCAAATACAATTAATAACTAAAAAATAAAGTGGTGTAATCATCGCCATCGATCGTCGGCCTCATCTCTGATAAACTCTCCAAGGTTGGATGTCCTCATCATGATAGCTCTAGGTTTGACACTGATGGTAAATACTAGCTACAGGCAACCGACCATTGATGATTACAGACATTCAATATTCTACATATTGAAACTGCGTCTAATTGCTTTACCTCTAGGCACAAGTTACTTTTTCAAGAGAAAGCATGGGCTTCAGTAGTTTTTTTTGAATGAGCTAGTTAACTGTTTCGTGGTTTTTGCTATCTAGGGAATTTTAATGTTAAATTGTTTTATATAATGAAATGTTTTGTTTGCAAACATTTATTAGAGATATTTTTATGATTATATAGATACTGGAATCATCAGACAAGACTAGGGAAGACTATGCAATTTGAATTGGAATTATAAGTATCCAGTTTACCATTTTAAATGAAGAAAGGATTTGATTATGATTTTGAGTTTGAACAATGAACATGAAATTTGAAAATGAAGCAATGTATGGAAACTGGAGATTTAAGTTTTCCATGGAATGAGATGAAATCACAGGTGCTTTTTTTTTAAGATTTCTTTTATTTGGGGAATTTTATTGCACTTAGTGTGATAATGCACATGGTCTTAGAGCTTGTTTACTTTCTGTACCAGATTAGATCTCAAGTTGGCTTACTATTTTTTTTTCCTCAAACCAACAGGTTTCATTTGTAACAAAATGCCTTTAGCCGTCTTGGAGATTTCTAACGATGAAATAGCTGTTCTTTGTAATGTTAAGATCATTAGATTCAAATAATAAAGGTAAAAAGGATATTGAGCTTTGAAAATAAAGTGGATGGAGGTCCCTCATTCCTCTGGTTTAGTCTCTGGTAAGTCTGAGCTGTGATCATTAGTCTCCCTTCGTGATGCCCCCTCTTTCTCCCTCTTTCTCCTAAGAACTATCTTCAGAGTTACATGATAAATGCCATCTTAATTGTTTCTGTTGTATGGTGAAGGGTCTCTTTGCGATTGATTGTAGGAATGCTATTGCTTCTTATAGTTTAGGCCTTTAGGGTAGTTTGTCACTCTCTAATTCCTATCCATAAGTGTTTTCTGCAAGACATTGAAGATGATAAATTTTTTTTGCAACTCAATGGTTTTCCATCTCGGATTTAAGAATCAGCAAACTTATTTTTCTTATGCCATGGATGGGCAGTGGAATAAAAATTCATTTCTTTCTATTATTGTTATAAAGCTTTTATATTTCTTCATCAAATTTAGTTGTAATGACTTTTTTGAATCCTTTGTGAATAGAGGTTGCTCTTGATTTCAGTTTCTTCTCCTAGTTTTAAATAGGTTGTGCAGTTTGCATTTTTTCTATGGAATTGGCTTGCTCTTGATTTCAATTTCATCTCCTAGTTTGGGAAACTGATTTGTAGGCGTTAGATTTTTGGTTCATATTTTTCATTTTATTTTCTGTTTTTAGTTTTAGTCTTTGTTTTAGGCTATTTTACCTTTTTGCCCCTTTGGATTGTTTTAGTATAAATAGGGGTGACTTGTATTGTTTCAAGTGGAGAATAAATACATCATTTCAGTTTTTCTCTTCCAAAATCTGTGAGCTCTCTCCCTCTCGCCTTCTATACTTCTCTCTCTCTCTCTGGTGGAAGCAGCAAAGAGCTGCTGTCTCTCTTGGTCCAGACAGCAAGAAGCAGCCAGTGGTGGACACAGCAAACACTGTTGGCCGGCGGGGCAAGGAGATCTCTGGTGGTGGTGCAGCTGCAGGTAAGCAAGGTGCTGTTGCTGAAACA